GCTAGTATAATGGGTCTTCCTTGGGGGAATTTGTGTCAACATACCAGCTTCAGTATGTGCAGTTTACCACAGCTATACAAAGGATATTTCAAGCAACTCAAGTTAAAATTGTATTGCCAAAGGCTTTCATTGCTGGAATCACTGGGTTATTGTAGGTCTTTCGGGCTGTATGTCCATGTTCTAGAAGTTTTCTCTCCTGATATTTCACCTTCGTCTATGGCAAGCATCCAGAGGATGTTGTAGGCCCAAAAGACCTACAACAACCCAAGTTAAAATGGTCTTGGTCCTCTTTTCTGGAAGTCTTCTTTTAATAATTTTTTTAAAAACTAACTATAACTGGGAGACAGAGTAAAAAAGATTCAAGCTCCCCACTACCAATCTGTTTTCTATTTTCAGTTCCTTGTCCAACTTTTGAATTTTAAAATTAAATTATTCTTGATTTTCAGTTTTATAGATATAATATTTATTGAAACAAATTAGAACAGGGGAATTGTGTGTCTTTATTATAATTATTTTCCTTTCTAATAAATATTAATATTTCTCCAAATTGTAAACAATATATTATCCTTATCTATATCTATATCTATATCTATATCTATATCTATATATATATATATATATATCTAGCAAAAAGTGTTACTTAACTCAGTGATACTTACTTCTCACTAGATATTCATACATTTCCTTTTTCCCTCTCCTACAAATTACAGGCTTTCATAGGTTGCATCTATGGCAGTTAAAGTGGAATAGTAGTGTTATAATTCTGTTGTCTAAATGAGCTCAAGGTTTCTCTCATAACACCATGGCTATGTCCAAAAATCTTGAACATGCTTACCTATTTAAACTAAAAGTAAAATTATTGAAATTGCATCAGCATTACCTTGTGTTGAAACTGAATTTATTTTCACTTCCCATATCTAGTACACTTGCCACACTATAATCATTTCTATGCCAAACGTTCATTTTGATGATATGGAAAGTATGCAGTCAGGATATTGGGAAAGGTGTAATTCATTTCTCTTTCTTCACAGTGACTGTCATAATTTACAGGTCTCCTAAAAGCAGATTCAAAATTGGATAATCTGATTTTTATGATCTTGTCACTGCCCAGGTCTTAAGGAAAGTTATCACATAATAATCTGTCATTTTCAGACTATATTTCTTTGGCATTTTGAAGTGAACAATTTAAAGCAAGTTCTCTGAAACCATGAAATTGAATAGAAAGATGTCCTTAACTAGTTTAATGAAGCTTGTCCAATTTTTACTTACTAAGTAAGTTATGATTAAGTACTTCTATGGCATTGCCTTTCCCTTTATAAACTATTTTTATTTTCTTTTGACATGGCTATAATATTATAGTCAAGCCTTTTGGTAACACAAAGACAATGTCTCAGAAGATAGAAAATGTGGCTACTAGTGCCCTCCAACTCGTGGCCATCATCCAGTAACAAAGCAGGACTATATCAACATTGGTTCAAATGGAGCATTTTTCCAGACCTCTCTTATACTTGGGAGGCACAGTGTTGAAGAAAGATGTAGTGATGTCCCTTTTCTTCCCCATTCACATCCTGAATCTCCCAGTGTTACTGATACCAGCAATATTGAATAAACTGGATAGAATCAAGCATTTAGTCTCACAGAAGTTGCAGGGCTAAAATGAATATACACATGATGATACTGGCAATTACATTCTGTATTTCATGTTTCATTTATTACATTTCTGAGCCATCACTCCCTGCAGAAGCCACATGTACAGAAAGTGGCTCCTATTTTTAAAATGACTCCAAGGCTCCAACCATTTTAAGCAACCAGCCTTACACAAGTAAGAAACAACAATCCATCTTTGTGATTCTATCCCATGTTTGGTTATATTAACTGGAGCACCAATCAGGTGCCTAAACACAGCATGTTTCTTTTGTGGAGATATTTATAGGCTACATCCTGAAATCTTAGGACAGTGTACAACTAAAATCAAGTTAAATAATTTAAAATTATTTATAATATAAAACAAATAAGTGATTTATGCAAATTAAAAGAGCATTAAGTAATTTAACAGGGTTTTGTTTTTGTTTTTTACAAAATTATAACATATCCATTGCTGTGTGTGAAAGCCACTGTGATATAGTGGTTTCAATGTTGGACTAATCTCAAGAGACCAGGATCCAAATCCTCCATCAGCCATGAAAATTGACTATGTGGCTCTGGGCAAGTCTCACTGCCTTAGAGGAGGGCAAGAGCAAAGCCCCTCTGAACAAATAGTGGCAACAAACTGTCATAACAGATTTGCCGAAGGGCCTTAAGGAAGCAAAATTGACTTGAAGCCATGCAACAACTACATGCCTTCCTTCATATCCTGCGAACAAATTGATTCAGCCTCAGTGTTGTAATAAAAACCTGTATTTATACTTGTTGCCAGAATGAAGCTAATGTTTTTATGAATTTGGCCTCTAGTACAATTGAAAAGACACTTCAATGATAAAAATCAATCCAGGAGTACTCCTTAGCTATGTACCTGTTCTTTCAGCAAAAATATAGTTCCCATGCAGGAGTTCCTGAGAATTACACGTACGCAGATCGGGTATCCTGGAATTCATCTTCAGCTTATTTCTCCTTATCCAGCCTGTTACAGCATCCGAATACTAGTTTGAGCCCTATACATCCTAGTTGACTTTGGTTACATGGACAAGTAGAACTGAGTATCATCATATACTTATGGCAGACAATCCAAAAACTCTTATTGATCTCTCCCAGTAGCTTTATATAAACTGCATAGGGAATAGGATGGAAACCTATGTCACCCCATATGATAATAAGCTTATAGATTCCTGCAGTGCCTACTTATGGACATTAACTGGAATATAGTGAGTCCTATTACCAAATTGCAGAACTGAGAAAGCCAAGAAGACTAAAAGATAGATCTCCCTATCTTCTTTCCTCTAGAGTAGACTTCCAGTCAGAGCAAACAAGGCTATTTGAGGAGCATTACCTGTCCATGCCAGTAAGGTAATGCTCAAGATCCTGCAAGGAAGACTCCAGCAATACATGGAGCGAGAGTTGCCAGATGTTCAAGCTGGGTTTAGAAAAGGCAGAAGAACGAGAGACCAGATTGCCAATATCCGCTGGATAATGGAGAAAGGCAGGGAGTTTCAGAAAAACATCTACTTCTGCTTCATTGACTATTCTAAAGCCTTTGACTGTGTGGATCATAATAAATTGTGGCAAGTTCTTGGTGGGATGGGCATCCCAAGCCACTTTGTCTCTCTCCTGAGGAATCTGTACAAGGACTAAGTAGCAACAGTCAGAACTGACCACGGAACAACAGACTGGTTCAAGATTGGGAAAGGCGTACGGCAAGGCTGCATACTCTCACCCAACCTTTTTAACTTGTATGCAGAACACATCATGCGATGTGCGGGGCTTGATGAATGCAAAGCTGGGTGAAAATTGCTGGAAGAAACATTAACAACCTCAGATATGCAGATGACACCACTCTGATGGCCGAAAGCGAGGAGGAGCTGAGGAGCCTTCTAATCAAGGTGAAAGAAGAAAGCGCAAAAGCTGGGTTGCAGCTAAACATAAAAAAACCAAGATCATGGCAACAAGAATGATTGACAACTGGGAAATAGAGGGAGACAATGTGGAGGCCGTGACAGACTTTGTATTTCTAGGTGCAAAGATTACTGCAGATGCAGACTGTGGCCAGGAAATCAGAAGACGCTTACTTCTTGGGAGGAGAGCAATGTCCAGTCTCGATAAAATAGTAAAGAGTAGAGACATCAGACTGGCAACAAAGATCCTCCTAGTCAAAGCCATGGTATTCCCTGTAGTCACCTACGGATGTGAGAGCTGGACCATAGGGAAGGCTAAGAGAAGGAAGATAGATGCTTTTTAACTGTGGTGCTGGAGGAAAGTTCTGAGAGTGCATACGAGAAGATCCAACCAGTCCATCCTCCAGGAAATAAAGCCCGACTGCTCATTGGAGGGAAAGATACTAGAGACAAAGTTGAAGTACTTTGGCCACATCATGAGGAGACAGGAAAGCCTAGAGAAGACAATTACGCTGGGGAAAGTGGAAGGCAAAAGGAAGAGGGCCGACCAAGGGCAAGATGGATGGATGGCATCCTTGAAGTGACTGGACTGACCTTGAAGGAGCTGGGGGTGGTGACAGCCGACAGAGAGCTCTGGCGTGGACTGGTCCATGAGGTCACGAAGAGTCGGAGACGACTGAACGAATGAACAACAACACCTGTCCTCAAATCAGTATCAAGTTCCATTACAGCTAGCTAGAGAATACAAGACTTAAGAATACCTGGAAAAGAAAAAAAATAGTTTGTGTCTTCCCTGGCAAGCATTGGGTATGGCACAAGGTACTTTTTTATGAAGTCATATTAACAATCCTGGCTTCACCTGAGAATCTCAGAATGAAGATGTGGCCTGTATATCTTTCATAATTTACCCATTCATGTAGGAATTTTATTCAGTGACTGCCACAGTATAATATGAAAATCATCACAACTGCATGAAGTGTTTTACAGCTCTGTTAAATGTTTCTGAAGGCATCTGGCTTTTTCATGGACACTTCTCATGGATTATGAGGACATGGGTGACAAAGTATTTTGTGCAATGAAGAGGGATGCTATGTAGAAGAAAAAAACCACCCAGCTCTGTTGGATAAAAGAATGTGTGATTGGGTTCTGCTATGATGTTTTCTGCATTTGTGGGAGAGGCGTCCACAAGAAAGGTGCTGCACATGACTTTACCTCTTTCCTGTTCTCACTCTTCTTCCATGTTTGCATTGTGAATGTGACATTATGTACCAGTTTCTAAAACTGTTACTTGAGCAGGTTTCTATAATCTGATGATACGTTTCAGTCTTGATGACAGAACTGTGAATGTTTTCCCTTGACTTTGAGTAGTGGGTGATTACTATTTTTGTTTTCTTTTTTAAACTAACACTTTAAGCATTTTGACTTTGTGTGCTTTTGTTATTTTTTCCCTAGATCAGAAATGTTGAAACAAACCAATGCTTGGATAACATGGGGCGCAAGGAAAATGAAAAAGTGGGTATATTCAACTGTCATGGCATGGGAGGAAACCAGGTAAAAATTAATCTTGTCTTCATAATAAGTTTTAGAATATCCTTTAAGGTTCAGCACCTGTAGCCAAATGTGAATCCAAGAAGATGTTTATCTGTTAAGAATATTGGTTTAACTTAATACATAGAAACATAGGCCACTGTATTTTTCATTGAATGCTTCCAGATTAGACTGAGGAAGAACTTGTTTCATATGTATGTATGTATGTATGTATGTTTGTGTATATTTAAAATGGTAGTGTGGTTTGCAAGGAATCACCAGCATTTTGGAAGATGTGATGAATTGTGCATATCATTTGTATGCAACTGTTTAAACCTTCCCTGTGACTTCATATTCTTCTTCAGAAGTTTGTCCTATTGCTGTTGAAATATAATCTCATTTTAGGATCTAAAATTCCTGCATCCACCTATGTTGAACAAACCATCATCTCCCTCACACTTTCTCTGGTTAACAGAGACCAAATTTAGTGTAATATAAACAGGACTTTCTTCTCATCATTCCTGAAATCAGTACCTGATTTCAGAAAGATTCCAAGCTCTCTCAAGTGGGTTCTATATGGGGAGGCCTTTAAACCCTTACTATTGGATGTAGTCCTACTATTTCCCACTGCCCATTCAGTGAACCTTCTTTATATTGACAGTTTCTTATGTTCTGCTTTTCCTCTTATAAAGATTTGTCAATGATTTCTATAATTGTAAAATTTTTAGATGAAGAATTTTCTCTCTTGCTCCAGCTTTCTGCTTCTTTTTTCATTATTCTATCTTTTCTATTCAGATTCAGAGAGTTTCCTTGAATGAGTCTATCCATCTGGAATGTGTTTTTTACACTTTTCCTGCAATTTTCTATCATAACATTTTCTTTTTAAATGAATTACATCTTCTTGTGATGTGGCCAAAGTATGACAGCCTCAATTTAGCCATCTTGGCTTTTAGGTAGAGTTCAGGCTTATTGGGTCTCCAGCACCATTTTTTTTTTGTCTTTTTGGAATTCCACAATATCCATAGAACACTTCATAATGATACATAGAAATGGGAAATATGATGGCACGAACAATCTCATATCTGTAAGGTATATGTTCCTGGACTTTGCGTGGATACTTGAAACTGCAGATAATAGTGACTCTTATTATTTTAATGGGATTAATGATAAAGTTACTGAGAATTAGGTGTAGCCTCAACAGGAAAACTTAGTAAATAAGTGAATAAGTGAAACTGGATAAGTGAAAACACATATATTGGTTTCATGGATATGAAAGATTGTACAGTATCTTTCAATGTCATGATCTTAGAAACCCCATTCCAGTTCTATTCTTCTTATGATTTCTTGATTGCATTCACTCTTCTGATAGTAGACCATGGTAGTAGACCAATAATTAGTATTGTGTCAAGATTTTGCACAGTGTCGTACACCCATGATATTCATTTCCTCTTACTATTTTTATCAAGCTACTGAAGCTGGTATAATTCAGGAAACTCCATGCTTATATATAAACTTGCAGAGGTGCAAAAAATAAACATAGCACTGTTTGAAGTCTAGCAATATATTTCCATTCCATTTCCACCTTACCAGAACAGTAAGGTGATTTTTAAATATTTGGTATTGTGCACCTTTTGATATTATGCACCACACTTTCCGCCTAACACATGGCTCTGATCAAAATTAAACCGAAGGGAGAATTTTACCTGATGTGTCTTTCCCTCCATGTATTTTGCTTTGTCTAGGTAAATTGGCATTTCTGTTATTCTCCCTTCTGTTCATATCTAAAGATTTGACAATTTGCTAATCTGTACATGAAAGATGATGCAGGAACTGCAGTGTTTTGCCATTCTGAAATACAGTACTAGGCACAAATATGATAATGCATTTCATGTACATATATGTTTTGCATATAGCATGCATACAAACATTTTGTAGAGAGTTCTAGGGCACTATAACTAAATATCAGAACACGAGAAAATAAAACAGCCTCGGAGCTGCTTTTCCAACTTTTCCTTTTCGAAAGCACCCTAATTGGTAACTTAGTAATGATTTGCATGCATTCTCTAATTGGTAATGCAATCAAGTTCGATTTGCATGCTTTGCCAAAGGCTACATTCAGCAATTAATTGGCAAAAGCTTGCTCTCAACAATTACGAGAGAACACTTTTCCTGTAGCTTTGATTAGAATACTTTAAATCAATTGAGAGGTGCATTCACATTAATTGGGAGCCTTGTAAATAATGAAAATAGTCATCACATAGGTTGGTTTAATTTGTATTCATGTTTTTTTTTCTGACCAAGATCCATATTTAATTCAAATGTACAGTTTGGGATATATTGCTCAAAATCCCATTGTGGCAAGCTGCCCATGGAGTGCACTCTTCTGTAAAAACTTTGAAAACCTCCACGCTCACCTGAGTGGAAGGCCATTATTTTGGTAGTGTCAGGAAACCAAGGAAGTCAGTTTGGAATCAAGAATTATGCCAAAATAATGGTGGCATTCTCCCACATGCTCCCAGCAATCATTGACTGTTTAGGTTAATAGAGAGGAATATTTGCATCCCACACTAGTTGGCTACCATTATTCAGTGTCAAGAAAAACATTACTTATACAATACTTACTCTTCCTGGTTATACCAGTATAAGTCACACATAAGGATTTGGAACAAGAATCTTTAGTCTTATCTTCTTGGTAGTTTCTACAAGCTGTAGGTGCACACAACATCAATATTTATAACATATTATTACATTCAATTCCCTTATGTTCTTTTTGATTATTCATTATTTTCAATAACAATATTTTTATAGTATTGTATTTCTGTAGGCCTTTGTTTATTCACTGAAATTTTGCTTTCTTTTACTTGAAAAAGAGAAAAATAAATAACTTCAGGACTTTTTATCAAGCAATAAAAAGAACTCTCAGATCTTTGCCTATTAAAAGCTGCCTGGGTAGGTATCCAGGCCTGGATGTTAGAAGCACCAAACACATCCTGAGGGAGGAATGTAGCACTTAGGGAGGAATAGTAAGGCCCTTGTTAACAAATCAAGATCTGATCTTATGTATTCATATAATTACAGTTGCCTCCTTTTTTGAGGCATAATAATGAAGTGACCAGTGCTTTCTCTCAACTCAAGGGATTTTCAGAGGAAATAGTTTACTTGGCTCTGGTTTATTCTCTAGGCAGACTCAGGTTGCACCTACACTGTAGAAGTGATGCAATTTGACAGCATAGCTGAATGCTTATGGAATTAGAGGAGCTGCAGTTTGGTGAGGAACCAGCATTCTTTGGCTTTCAACGCTACAACATAAAGGTTTCCATAGCATTGAATCTTGACGTTAAAGTGGTCTCAAAGTCTGGTTTGTTTAGGATTAGATGGCCTGATGATTCAGTGTCTCTGGTATTTTCTTGTGGTTCAGTCCCAAAGCTAGTGTTGAGGTTGAGGGATGCCTATTAAATATGGTAGCAGTTTTCTTTGCCTCAGGGCTCTGTCCTTGTGGCTCCTTTCTAAACATCTACATGATGGGGAAGCCTCTGAGGAATTTCATCTGCAATGTCTATAACCTTCTTTTTTATTTGCAAATCCTAAGTTGCCTGTGGCATTTCCGAATACTTAATTCAATGTTCCTTTACAACAGATGAAAGGAGACCAACATAATCCAGATAAGATAAGATTCTGTGTGCTGGAAAAACCAACCAGCCTAAATTGAAATATAAAGCAAGTCCTGAAAGCGATTCTTGCTAAAAGCCCAAGTTTACATCTAAGGGATGTTACTGTTGTGGGTGAATATCTTGGCTTCAGAGAATACACAATAGATGCTTTAAAATTTAATATAATTATAACGTGTTGCCTTCAAAGTCATAACTCAATTAGCTGATTATTAGAATATGGTCTACTTAGATCTCTCTTTGAAGAAATATTACTATACCTGAAAATTAGGATGAGCTATGGAATCTGCTTATTTTTCCTTCTGAACATACTAACATCAATCATTTGGGGTGGATATAAGTGATACCACCTTCTCAGTGATGACCCCGCTATTAGAGAACTCCAGTGGACGACCCCTGTAGTATAAGCCTTCAGGGCATAAAGCTAATCCGCAGCCGGGTATCTTTCTAAAACATCTTTTTCTGTTGCTTAGTTTTTGGATTTTAGTGTTTTACATCTCACTTTGTACTGAGCCTTGTGAGGACGCTATCCCAAAAAGTATTCTATTGATATTGTGATATGTGTTTTCATAATTATGAATTTCACAGCCTTGTCCACTACAGACAACTTCCCTTTTTTGCATGTATTATCTTCATTTTCTACTTCAGAAATTCCTCAGTAAACAAGATATGGCAGTGAGCAGTAGACTGTTTGGACCTGAATAATAATAAGATTGACATAAGCATGCAAAACTTGCTCGTATTCATGTTCCATGTTATTTTACAAATAGCCTTATAAAGTAAGCTGGTAATATCAGTCATATTATCAACATTATCAGTATCATCAGATGTGGCACCAAGGCTGGAAGATTCATCCTCATAGTTAAGATGAAATTGGTGACTCAGATTATATAACCATAGCACTTAAGTTGTGCCGTTCAGCTAGATTGATATGTTTCCCAAGAAAATTGCAAAGCAACATTCTCAATTGTGCCTCATTTAGAATTAGCACTCATGACTGTACTAGAGTATTTATTTATATGATTAAAATATCTGAAGATCCCATACTGGTTTAAAATTTGTCTTTATTATATCCTCACAATAACAATTTGAAATTGTTCATATGTACTAGTCAGTTAAAGTCATTTCCCAGATATGCGGATGTAATGGAAATAGTATACCTATAACTTGTAGAATTCAGCCAAGAGTAATTCCCAGTAATTTCCACTCATATTAACCTTATGGGGTTGTCATTCATCACAGTCGTTTTTGTTTCTGATAATGGTCATCAACGTTTTTCATCTTTTACTCAGTCTGATCATAATAGGTGTCCAAAACCAGTGTATGATATCCAAGCTTTGCTTATTTCAAAGCTAAGTGGCTCTGGTGGACTGCATGCATAGTGGCCATTGAAAATTGTTCAGAGTTTCTTTCATTAAGCATAATATGGCATTGTTCCATATCTACACAGAGGTAAACCCCATGAGAGCCTCCATAACTCAATGGCCCAGTACACTACATTACAGTACACTGCTTTCAAATGTAGTTTGAGATACAGGATTGTACATGTAGCAGGCCAAGAGTAGCAAATATGATTTATATACAACACATTTGGAGGTTTAATTTTTGCAGAGGTACTGCACATCTAACCCTAGCAAATGTAGAGGTCTGACACTATATACATTCTCTGGCATGTATTGTCTCTGGGTTCTAGCTGGATATATTAAGAATCACAACTTCCTTTTATAACACATTATTTATAGGTTGTTGATCTATGTCAAAGCATGCCTTGAGGATCCTCATGTGCAAAATTGCAAGGTATCAATTTTCCATGATTTGACTATTCTGTTGCAACATCCTGAAGTATGACTCCAAGCACAGTGGAAAGGCAACTTGACCATAGGCATTAAGCAATTTACTTGCCATAATTATAATCAGCATTACACCTATTCTCACCAGATACAGGTACCTAGGGAGTATTTGTGGATGGCTCAGAGTTGGGGATCTTCTTATCCCTTGTGATTATTAGAAACATGGGCATTCAACAGAAGTATTTTGTACATACATTTTCTTTCACTGCACATGATAAGGCAGCTACTTATATGAGAAAGAACTATAATCTATTACCTTTATATTTTACATCTAATTATGTATCTGTAAAGCATATATGAAAGCACACACTAAAGTAATATTGCTAAAATAATCATTTTATTTCTTCTAGGTATTTTCATACACGGCTGACAAGGAGATTCGCACAGATGATTTATGTTTGGACGTCTCTAGACTCAATGGTCCTGTGATCATGCTGAAGTGCCACCACATGAGAGGAAATCAACTTTGGGAATATGATGCTGAGGTATGTTTTTTCAAATACAGCAGGAGAAGATAAAACTTACTCTGATTAAACATATTCAAATAATGTTGCAGATTTGAAGTTCATAGTTTAAAAAAAGCATTCCTTGGCCAACCCCCCCCCCCCCACACACACACACCATTGGAGCTAAAGTTGTATAGTTACTTTCAATATATTAATTTGTTCAAGATTGTGGTTGCTATTTCCTGTATGTTTCTGCGGCGCTGTGAACCTATCTCCAGTTTTCAAACTGTCTTGAAAAACAAAACTTGCATCTCTCCACCTCCCAACTTATCATTGATATTTAACTCCTTGACATTAAAATCAGATCTTGCAGTATGTGTCTAATCTGGTGAGTATGTTGATGGCTTCACTATACACATGCGCACGCACACACGCACACATTCAGACTGACTTTGAATTTTTGAGAGAGTGTGTCTATGTATGCTTCTATAAACCCAATCTGAAAAAAGAGGTGATGTAAGAATTGCTTGATGAAAGGAAGCAATTACTGTGTTTTTTAATTCCATGAATGCATACTTAGATATGTACCATATTGGATACATAAAAAAAACTTGTGTTTTTTTTTATTTGATACATCCCAATAATCAACATAATTTTGCCATACAGGACTTATTTCAATATACATTATTCCAAGAGTAAATATTCCTTAAATGACATTTTATACATTCCTTAGTTATATATTGCCCAACAACCCCCCCCCCATTCCCCCCACCCCCTGGAACAGCAATTCTAAATCATGTCTTGTGTTGACTTTTCTCTGCAACTTTGTCCAGGAACATTTCCTCTGTTTCCATCCTATAAGAATTATTAAATTCCATTTTTTCACATCAGATGTCAAGATTGCATTTGGAGTTTCCATCACTGACATTCTCTCAGTTGGGTTAACTGTTTGGAAAGTATTGTGGTGGTGGTATCCAGTGCACCATCATTTTTATAATCCCAGGTTACCAAGTATATATGAATGTCCTTGTTGGTCTCCTTGGAAGATGTTGCTTTTTGAGTTATGAGCCCATAAGTGGCTTGAAATCTTTGTAGGTACAGACATAATATTTTCTCTTATATTCTACTACAAGTTCTAAAACTGATTGAGGGGACCCTCTTGGCTATAGCATTCGTATGCACACATGATATGATGTGAAGCAAAGAGATTTGGCCTGCATAGTTGCCTGCAGAATAAAACGGGGAAGGCAGGAATATGCTTTCTAATACACTTTTAAATAGGCCTACCCAATAATTTCTAAAATGTGTAATTTCTGCAGGCATCTGCTTACCAATAACTCCCTAATAAATGAGCCCTCCTTTATTATTTCACGGAAGCTGAAGAATCCAATATGTTGCACAATAATTCTCCACCCATAAAAACTACTCTTGCAAAGTACAGATAATAGAGAGAGAGAGAGATGTGTGTGTGCATGGATAGAGTGAGGGGGGAGAGTACATTATTATCCTAGTGAAAAGACATATTGTTAATATATGAAATAAATACAGATTCAAGAATTGTAAAACTAAAGCGGAAGAAAAGCAGGCTATTATTTTCTTTTGGGAACAATAGTTTAAATGCAGCTTTCTGAAACAATATTGAAAAATCAGATGAATTTATTCAGGGTGATTGACACACAACTTTCCTATTTGATCTCAGCGGCATTAGAGAGTGACTTCTATCCTTAATGCAGGCTAAACATTGCAGTATATGAAGCAAGAGTTCTCACAGGTAGAGAAGCACATTTGACCCCCTCAGCCCTGCTGCTGAAAATAATGGACTGAATATACTTTGCCATCACTGTATGCATCAGTTTTAGGAATCTAGCTGTGGAGAAGAAGGGGAGTGAGGGTGTTGCAAGGGAGTTCTGCCTCCCATGCAACTTTTCTTCAGCTCCCAAATGGCCATACAGCCCGGAAAACTCACAACAACCCAGTGATTCCAGGCATTAAAGCCTTTGACAACACAATTACAGCCTTTATTCCTGTGTTTTGTTAAACACATGAGAAGATTGCCCATGTTGACTAATATTTGAAAAAGTTATCTATCTGGCATGCCTATACTAGCTAGGTAACTTTTTCAAATATTAGCTGATATTGGTAGTCCTCTCATGTGATTAACAAAGCACAGGAATAGTAGATCCTTCCATCGTTACAATGCTGTGATATTTAATTTATTTAGGCTACAGAAGAGAAGCAGAACTTGCCTATTGTCTCCTTTCTTAACTATTTCATGGTTGCTGTGAATAAGGGCGCATCTACACTGTGGAATTAATGCAGTTTGACATGACTTTAATTGCTATGACTCAGTGCTATGGGATAATGGTATTTACAGTGCTATGAGATAATGGGACAAGCACTCTTTTGCAGAGAAGGCTAAAGACCTTGTAAACTCTTGAGATCTCATAGTATTGATCCATGGTGGTTAAAGTGGTGTCAATGAATTCTGGAGTGTTGATGTACCAGAAGTTGTTCTTACAATAACTTATTTATATGGTAGTGCTGGCTATGGTTATGTTTTATTATTATTTATTTATTTTATTTATGCTATTTCTACCCCGCCCATATCAGCCCAAAGGCGACTCAGGGTGGCGAACAGTCGGCACAATTAGATGTCATATATAAAATACACACATCAATAACAGTAGAAAAAAGCATCATATCACAATGTACCTGGAGCTAATTATTTACACTGATATTTTTAACATTTAGCTTCATCTGAAATTATTGTTAGTAAGATATAATAGAAATACTTGAAATCCATATTTAGTTATAGGGTTTTTTGTTCGTATGTTTTTAAAAATGCTCTAACAGCATTCAGGGAAAATAATGCACAATTATCTTGTAAAATCCTGTTTAGCCATTAGGTGGAGCCAGGAAAAAAGAAATCTCACATAGTTCCATTCCAACAGCTACATAATCACTGTCGAAACAGTTTGTCATTGCATTTATTTTAAAGATTTTTTTTACATCTTGTTGAATTATTATTCATTTGCATTATTGAAAGGTCCCTTGCTTTATGGAAATATTTAATAGAAAATCCCAATATCTCATTAGAAGCTTGTTGATTGTTCCTGGCTTGTTAATAGTTGTCTGTTTCTTCTCTTTTGCAATAGTTGCCCTGAGTTTCAGCTTTGTTCTTGTTGTCTTCTTCCTCTTTTCAACTAATTGTAAATGAAAACAGCATTTACCCTATATGAAAGCCCAACAAAATGTTAAAAGCCAAGTTTGCTGTCAGAGGCCCCAACCCCCATGATTTTGCTGGGTGGGGGGGCTGTCTAGCCCGAAGAAGCAGGATGGCTAAGGGAATGGACCCTCAGGTCCCAAAAGGTGATCCCAAGAATCAGTCCCCACAGGCCCAAGGTCCACAGCTTCCCAGACATTTTTTAACCCAGAATAAAACTGAAAATCCAGGTTTACTCTGGATTAAATCGGACTAGCCTGAGGCATCGTTTTGACATCTCAGGCTACTTTGGTAAAAATTCCAGGTTTGGGGCCTGTGTGGAAGGGCCCTGAAACAGGGGCTTCCCCAGTTTTATACTTGTTTGTCCCCTCCTTGGTTTAGATCTGTAGTTATAATATAATGTCAATGTTTTGTTTATGTTTAGTTTGTTTTTAATGTTTATGTTTCGTTTGCTGGATTTCTATTCTGTCAGGAACAAAATACAATATAAAAGATATAGAGCAATGGCTCCCCACCTTTTTTTGACCAGAGACTACTCTCCAACATTAGTACCAATGAATCCGTTTTTGATCAACTTTAGTTTCGATTTGGTTGTTTGGAGTGTTAATTCAGAAAATTGCATTGAATAGACCACATCAGCTCCATTTTCTGATACAGAACATATGACATCCAATAGTCACCATCTGCTCAGCCACAGAAAACCATATTTAATAGTCTAGAGCTTTGCTAGTTCCTTCCTTCCAAGTCCATTCTACATCACATAGTATTGTTTGGTGAATTCCCATGCAAGTACTAACCAGGTCTGACCTTGCTTGACTTTCTAGATTTGAACAGGAACTGGTATCTTTAGTGCATTTAGGCCCACATTCCTCTTGTGATTAGATAAAGCTATGAGGAACAGAAAGTTTAACAACATAAAAATTTCACCTTATCAGATCATCATGATAATAGGAGCATCCCTTAACATGTGGTATTCTACATTGTTACTTGCCTGCTCATCAGTCCAATTTGTTTAAATACTGAGATTGAATTTCTTTTCAGTCTTGTGTGTGTAAACCTACCAGCAATGTGGGGTGCGTGCATGTTTGTGTGTGGGGGGGGGGAGGGGGAGAGCTCTCTATATGTTATACTGCAGTCTAGTGATAGGCAATGTGATATAATGGTTAGTGTGCTGAACTAAAAATCCAAGCACTAATCCCTACATAGTCATCAAAATCAGTATTGTCATCCTTAACCTGTGACTTTCTCTCAGACTTAAGTACACAAGAAGAAAAGCAAATACCAAAGTAAAATAAAAAAACCAAAATACAAATCAAGCAAACTTTGGTATTGGGTATAAAACTTTCTCAAGTGAATGTATTGGGTCTAAAACTGTAGCATTCCCAACCTAGCTGACTAGACATGAAGAATGATGGTGACACAGATATATATTCTAGATGACTTTAGGACTCATATGGATCCAGTTTGAAGGAACAATCTCTAATAATGTAACAAGGATGTCAAAACTGAGAACTAATCAGATGTGACTCAGTATTTCTCTAATGGAGTTTCATCACCGGGAAAGGTTTAACCTTTTCACATGTGATATTTTCATAATATAAATCATCCACCAATGGGTGGGGAAAATTCACCCATCTTATACAAATAGAACAAATTGGGGGTGTTTAAAGAATGAAATTAAAATGAATTCTTTAAATATTCTCATTTTTTCCATTAAAATTAGTGGAAAAACATGGGGGGGGGGGAACAGAGGTCAACTCAGGTGTAAGGCCATGTACTGGATGGGCTCAAATTCTTTTCCAGTTCTCACTTGAGT